AGCAAAAGAACTGGAGGCAGAGAAATTATAAGCCAGTTTAGTGGGGCATGGATAAATTACGTCTTGCTTCAAGGCAAACTGAAGACCTTCCTAGAAAAATTAAGATGCAAATATCTTCATCATCCTCCTTAATTAAGATGTTTGCATGGAAAGAAACCACTGCCTTTTTTTTTTTTGTTTTTTTGCTGCTGATTCCTGCATGGTCAGAGTTTCCACAGGCTTTCCCCTTCTGATCCCCTCCTGTTTCATAGTCCTGCCTCTCTCACAGCCACATCGAGCTCCTTCTCCATGCCAGCTGGATAGAGAAAGCCCCTATTTGCAAGCAGCTGTCTTTAATAAACAGGCTGTTTCGAGCTAGGCTGTCAAAGAGAGCATGTTCAATGTACAATCAAGGGGCAACGATGCACAAAATCGCACACACACACAAACCAGGAATCTTTTCTTGCTGTGTGTTGAGCTTTGAACGCTTAAGTGATTCCACCTTTTGCTTCCGCATCCAATTATGTGGACAACCCACGATAAGATTGCTAAAGGAATTAGAGGGGGAAATCTTTACACTGCCTCATCAATATTGTTTTGCTCAGTACAAGGCATCTCCCTGCCTTTGGCCCCAGTCGTGTGCTCATTTGCCCTCTGAAAACACAAGTTCACCTTCTCGCTATTCGGGCTGTAGTGATCAAGAGAAAAAAACAGCATCGTGTCTGTTGAAAATGTTTGTACTTACCGAGTTTCTTCCTGGTGTTAAAAAAGAAAGATGTAATACAGCCCTGCTAAAAACACCTTTCAAGGTTTTTAAAGGGCTTCCTGTGCAGTCCAGAAAGACCTTTCCTCTTTCAATTGTATGGCCTTCTAGAAATGGCCAACAACCTTATAAGCAAAGGCACTGGATGATAATTTTTCTGAGCATCACTGAGGCAAGACGCCAGATTTTATGGGCCACTAGACTGATCCAATATAGCAAATCCTGTGTTCCACTGTGGATTCGGAGACCAAATTATCAATTAATGTGAAGCATTAAAAAATCCAAATCCCTTTTAGTTCCCTGCAGTCATTAGTGACAAGATACAATATCTATAGCTCAAATGCTTTGCCAGCATCCCCTGGCAGCAAGGCAGAAACTCCACTTCTATTTTTTTCCCAATACATACAAGGAAAACATATGAGATCAGTGTTTTTTTACAGTCAGATTCGGCTGCCTCTTCATATTTACTTAGACGGAAGAATAAATCAGGTTCGGGTTACTCTCCGGGTTAGTTATTTGTTATTGGAATAAATGCATGATAATAGACCTGACAGAGGAAGATGTTTCTCTTTCAGCTCTGTGTTTGAGGTAGAATTTGCTTTGTTCTGCACTATATTATATTGATGATTTTTTCCATTGCTGGATGACTTCATTTGCTCAGCTTCTTTCCTACGTCCATACCTCTGCCGCAGTTGGCTTTAGGAAGTGGCTTTCTGCGATAGAGCTCTCCTTTCTTTTTCCCTAACTGTAACATTGTAAAGCAGAGGCAATTTAAACAACCATCATGAAACAATTTTCTAAGCCTTTCCCCCACCCATTTCCTACCTCAATTTTTTGGGAAGGGAGGTGAGTCAGTCTTTCACGGGGCAATTCCCTAAGCAGAATGAGCTGTCAGCTACATTTAGCAGCTCAATTTTCACTTCTGGTGCGGGGTGGGAAGGTGCCCAGGGTGATGACTAGCTGAACACACCCTGAGGCCACGTTTGTGGTATTCCCTGGGGCAGCTGTCAGCCTCAGCAATTAAGTAGCACAGCCAGAAGTCTTCCCCTAAACCACCGTGCTCACCAACTGCCCTTTCGGATGGGTATTTTGCCTCCTTTTTGTCCTGGTGGGAACATGAACACTTTACTAGAAAGTCAGTGAACCTTATGCTTGTCATTCACTCTTAATTTGCACACCGAGATCCCTGCCTCTTCTTCTCCTTCCTATTCCCCAACTCTTTCCTACTTTGATACATGGGGAAAAAGTAGAGCTGTGTTTTCTGCTCCATCATTTCGCTTCCCTTGTCCCCTCCTAAGGTTCAGTTCTGGAAGCACTGGCAGGTTTGCAGGTGATCAGAAGCTGTGGGATGAAGTTTTTTTCTTCCTCCCCCAACCTGCGACAGTACTGATGGGACAAAGACTTTTGGGGAAGCATAGAGTGATGTATGAGATGCTTCACTGGGATATTTGGTGAACAATGCCCTTGACTCTGGCTAGCCCCAGCTTGCTTGAGTAAACACATCAGGCCTGAGTCTTGTTCTGCTGGCAGATGCAAATGGGTCCCTGCACCATGCCCAGGAGGGCTGGCAATGGGCAAGGAGCAGTATGCTTAAGTACTAGATACAGAGGAACAGCTCAAGCCTCCTAAAACTCCTCCTGTCTGGAGAGGAACTGTAGCTTCACAGTCCAAGGAGAAGTTTCAGGAGGCTGAGCCCCCCTTGACTCTTGCCCAGCTTGCCCTGCTTCTGCACTGGTGCAGGTGATGGTGTGGGGTGCAAGGTGGTGGTGACTAGGGCCAGAGGGTCTCACCTGCCCCAAGTCCTCGCAGCAAGGGTTGTGCAGTGTTGGGATGTTGCAGCCAGTGAAAGACGTACGGTTCAGTTAAAGACATACCCTTTCCCTTCTTGTCCCCTTGCTTCATTCCCCCCATCCCTCCCTCCCTCTCTCACCCTTCCCTTCTCTTTTGTTTGTCTCCTTCCCTTGTTTTCACCCATTCACTGTCAGGAAGGGCCGCGTCCGAAGGGCCAGTTCAGCGCAGCGTGGCAGCGACAGAGAACAGCTGCAACAGTGAGTGGATCTCGACCCCTGGGGCAGCTGGAAGCGGGGGACTGGTGCTGCTTGAGCATGAAACGACATGTGGGGTTGAGCGGCTTTGGGACTAGGTCGGGACTAGGGCTTTTGGCAGTGAAGGGGCTCTCGTGTGCAATGGGAATGGCACATGTTTCTAATACAGCAACTCTCTGGGGCTTGTCTGGATGGTGAGATAACACGGGATGAATGCAAAAGTCCTCAGTGCAATCTTCCGTCGTGGGTGTTCGGGCTGTGTCTGCACTAGTGGGCAGCATGGGCCGGCCGCTGGCTCTGACGGCAGCGAGTGCAGCACCGTTTGTCTCCGTGCAGCTAAACCGCTCCACGCTTCCGAGCAGGGTGGCATTGGCACAGCTCACTGGTGGCCATCCCTGACTTGTGTTGTCCTCTCAACAGTTGTTTGGACGCTGTCAAACTGGCGTGGTCTAAAACCAGACTATTTGAACAGTTGGACCATCATGTGCCAGCCCTGGCACCTTTTATCTACTAGTCTAGACACAGCCTCGGTGTCCAACCAGTTGGGTGCTTGCAGCTGTGATTGAGTAGATGTCAACCATCACTGCCCCACGGCTGCTCCCATCCCCTGCCTGGAGGAGAAGCAGTGAGAGATCGGTGTGGGTTCGATGCTCTGGCAGTGCACAGGAGTTGGGGTTTGCCAACGTGGTGTGTGATGGGAGCTGTGTGAGCCAGATGAGGGCTGGTAACACCTCTGCTCACGCTTCCCTCCCCCCCACTGAGGCCAGCCGTTGTTCCGTTGTGCTTGCTGCACGCTACAGCCTCTGTGTAGGGATGCTCAGCCCGATGGGTCCCCAGCTCTCACAACATTGCAGAAGCCACCACCAGCAAGCTGCAAGGCTGCTGGAGGTGAGCTGCAGAAGCCTGTGAGAGGGGCAAACATTGAAAGTGATTATTCTGGGAGATTTTGCTGCTGACGCACAGGGAAGTACTCTGTTGATCCGGAAAGTTGAGGAGCCTTTGCTTGAGTCTGTTCTGGAAGCAGATCGAACTAATCCACCCAAAGACACTGTCTATGCAGAGCAGTTATGACCTCTCATTAGTTAAGGCAGGAAAGTGATGGCTTCTGCACTTCTCAATAGCTTCCCTCTGGCAGCAAGCTCAGAGAGATGGACATAAACATTTGCAAAGTAACCGTGACTGGGACAAATTACTGGGGTCCAAATACCCAAACCTCCCTTTGCCAGTGCTAGGGGAGGTGTATGCTTCTCGCCAGGTGATGAAGGACGAGCTGTCCCACCACGCAGCCTCCTCTCAGCATCACCACCACCCCCAGCAACGGGCATTAGTGAATGCCTATGCCATGTTAAACAGTTGAGTGGATCTCACAAAGCCCTCCTGGGATCTGTGATGGAGCAGGACTCTGGCAGCTCCTGGCTGTTGCCAGAATCACAAGGGAGAGTGAGTTTAGATATCGCTGATTTTCCAGGGGATATGTCAGCAGATAAGAAGATGTGCCACCGAAAGGTGATTTTGTTACGTTTATGCCTTTCTGAGCTAAATTGAATTGCAGGGTGTGGATGGGAATTTAGTTCTAAGCACTGATGTAATTTTGTATCCTCGGCCCTGAAGGCGGTTTTTAAAAAATGATTTTCCCCTGTGCCCTGACACTATTTTTTTACCTTTCAATCATGTCCTTATGACAGAACAAATACTGGAGTTGACCTTTGCAATGTGACATAATAATATGTGACTTCTTTATAGCTCTTTTTATCCAAAATGCTTGGCACACCATGAATCTGATCCTGTAACCGCTTACCACTGGGCTTAGCACTCACTGCTCCCAGCAATCCCTGGGGAAGCCAGAGGAGCCCTCACACACAGAAGTGCTCTACTGGGTATTATTCGCAGGATCAGGCCCTGGAGAAATGTAGCACATGCCTGTGAATAGCCACATTTTGGAGAGAGAAAGCCTTGCCCTCTCATTTATGATTTTTTTATTCACTATCAGAGTGCCATGCCCAGCACTAACATGACAGCCTCCCCTTGGCTAAAATGTCATGACAGGTAATACGTAAGTCATATTTATAGGTATTTGCAACCCTGTTGCTTCTTTCTATTATTTTTTTCCCAGCCCTGAAAGCATGCTAATTAATAAACTCCCTTGGCTTATCCTGCACCATTGTATCCTGCAGAAATCACAGCATTTTATCTTATTAGTGAGTAGGAATTAAAGAATTAAAACTACTCAGGGGGGAAAAGGAACACAACCGTTTTCTCTGTGCATCCCTTCTGAAACAACCTTGCACTGTGCCCTCAGAAACTCCTGGCTCTGTCCCCTGGGCTTGGCAGAGTACGGAATCCCAGAGCAGTGAATGCTTGGGCTGAAAAATACTTTCTGCTCTGCTATTCCTGTTGTGAAAGGGAAAGCCCAGTTAGGTGCATGGAGAAGAAAAGTCCAGTAGTGAGATCCCAGCCTTGGACTGGGCTGCAGGTCCCTTCCATCCTACCAACATCCTCTGTCGCCATAGGAAATTCAGTTAGTCCTTCTGTGCCTCAGTTTCCCATTGTTAAAAGGTGATTCCTGCGCATCTTCACTGAGGAGATTCACATGAAAAAAGTTTGCAAGGGTCACGGTCATTATGGTGTTGGGAGACAGGTAAGTACATTAGAAAGACATAGGCAACCGGTGAGATGACATGTTTGCGGTACTGGTTCGAGGAGAGTGAATTTTGGAAGTCCTCAGTAGTTGGAAAATGCAAAGAGAGAAGCAGGTGGGATCCTTGCGCCCACCTTGCTTGGTATATTCAAGGTGGGCAGAACCAGGAGAGAGGCCTGCTCCGCCTTTTTGGTGCTGGGAAGTGGTTAAATCTGGGAATGGAAACTCACTAGCCATGAGCAGGTTATCTATCCACTTCGCTGTTGTTTGCCATCGGTAGAACACTGCATCCCCCTCGCCCTTTAAAAATAAATTCATTAGAAGTAGAGAGGGCTAGAAGGGATTCCCTGGATCATCAAATCCAATCCCCTGTTACATCAATCACATCAGATTTATCCTTTTCATAATCAAGCACCACTATTAAATGTGCTCCTAAGGGAAGATATAGTCCCAGAATCTCATTGCTTTAACTCGTAGATGCTTCTAATTTCCAGTCTATGCTTAGTCATGGCCCGTTTGTTAAACAGCAGGTACCTGGCACAGAAGCAAGAAATTTAACACAGTTTTCTTAAAATAACCACCCAGAAATCCTATCCACAAAAAAACGCTGAGGTTGCAAAAGGGAAGATGCAAGGTCAGATAATGATAATGGGGAGGCTCGAGCTCACACTTGCCTCTGCCGTGTAGTACAGACTTTACATAATCACCTGCCGTTAATCTTGTGTGATTCAGTTGAGGTACAAGGCAAAAGTACTCACAGAACAAAGGAACTTCTTTGCTATTCTTCTCCATAACATTCATTGCTTAACCCTCCGTCTCTTTTGCCAGGTATAACTAACCCTGAGCTAAACATGTGGCTATTTTTCCCTTTCTTGGCAGACTTTTCTGTGCCGTTTATTGCTTCACTGTACAAGCCATTACCTGCACAGCATCTTTGAGAAGTCAGTGAGTTGCATTGCCCCGTTCTTCCAGTACCTAAAGGGAGGCTATGAGAAAGCTGGAGAAGAACTTTTTACCAGGGCGTGTAGTGATAGGACAAGGGGCAATGGCTTGAAACTGAAAGAGGGGAGATTTTGATTAGGTCTAAGAAATAAATTTTTTGCATTGAGGGTGATGAGGTACTGAAACAGGTTGCCCAGAGGAGTTGTGGCTGCCCCATACCTGGAGGTGTTCCAGGCCAGGTTGGATGAGGCTTTGAGCAACCTGGTATAGTGGAAGGTGTTCCTGCCCATGGCAGGGTGATTGGTACTAGATGATCTTCAAGGTCCTTTCCAATCCAAACCATTCCATGAATCTATGATTCTATGATTTTACAGGTTAGGAAACGAAGCACAGAGCTATCAACCGTATCAACCCATTGAGCTGCAAGGGCAACTTTCCCCCTCCGAAATACCCCTACTTCTTTCAGTGCAATCTTATTGACTCCAAACTGTGCAACTGCTACGCAGCCAGAGGAAAGGGGCTGGTGCAGCAGCCGGCCTTGTGGCACGCAGTGTACGTTGCACACTGTGGAAATGATGGGATGCTCTAGACCCATGACTTGCTTGTTTTACAGTCTTGTCCGGTTAGTTAATCAGAGCGTGCAACGAATGAAGAGCGGGGGAACAAACAGATGAGTACAGGCAGAGGCGCAAAACTGCTGTGTTACCCATGGCAGCACCCAGTAGTTGTGGCCCATCCTGTAAAGGACAATGGCACACGGAGCCATACGTGCATAGATCAGGTCACTGTCACGCAGCATCAGCAGCCAGAGTGACTGAGGAGGAGGGCTCGCTTGACAAAAACAGGTTTGCAACTAGGATGCTGCAATCCCATGTTTGCTTATTTAACTTGGCAGGTATTCAAGTGAAACAGGCACGGAGGGGAGGTGTCAGAGCTGATCTCGGTACCAGCATGTGGGATTTTGACTTTCTATTTCAGTGTTGCTGTTTGGAAGAGAAATGTGCTCAGAACCCCCTCCCTCTTTTTTTTAAGCACTATTTAAATGTCATAGGAATTGTACAGTGCCCACCTTAATGTTCCTAACAAATTAAAATATTTTATTAGTCTATAATCTGAAAATCATTACCGGGGATACTATAAAAACCCAAAGCTCTCCGGAGGAAATGATGTCAGCAAGTCTAAAATGTATGCAAATATATTTTGTTGCCATAAAGGTACCAGGGGTCAGACAGGCAGCCCCCAGCCTCGAGGCGACAGGCTGTTGTCGTGGGAGGGAACGAAGTGCATCTCGCAGTGCGGAGGGAAAAAGCAGATCTCTGGGCTGGTTTTCCTGGAGTTTTGCAGGGTGAATGCCTCGGGCTGTGCCTGGCTGGTTCCGATGATTTCAGAGGAAAATGTTGGTGCCATTCCCATGCACCTCCCT